CCCCCCCCCCCCCCCCATCTACAACCCCTGGCAACCACTGAGTTATTCTCTATCACTACAGTTCTGTCATTTCAAGAATGTCAAATGTAATCATCCAGTATGTAACCCTTTGAGGCTGGCTTCTCAAGCTGGGCATATTGCCTTTGAGATTCCTCTGTGTGTAGTAATAGTCCTCTCCTTTCTACTGCTGTGTAGTATTCCATTGTACAACATACCACAGTCTGTTTATCCAGTGGCCACAGAGATTTGGGTGTTTATAGCTCTTGGCTTCTACGAAGAACACTGCTGGGAACATTCGTGTACAGGCTGTGCCACACTGCTTTTATCCTACAAGAAAGAGGTGATGGAATCAGTTAAAATCCAGGGAGGGAAAAATCAAATGTCCTTTAAGACAGAGAGTTTCCCCTCTGAGAGATGCCTGTGAAGATTTATTCGTCACCAGCCCTGGCAAGATGAAGTCTGAGGGAAAACTCGGGGGGGAAGCACCAGGGGTCGGGCAGCTGTGCACCTCCAGTGTCTGCTGTGAAGGCCTCAGAAGCATTGGCCTTGCAGACTTTTCTGAGGTAGATTCTACCTCTTCCAGAAGTAGGCAGCTCAGTGGAAGGAGTGACAGGGCGGAACTGGGAGGAGATGGGATAGGTGGGAGAACGTGAAATTTTTTGAGCATGTTAGAGAACCAGTTGAAAATAGATAAATGCATGTCTTTAGGAGTGTGGCCTCTCCTGCACAGGTGGAGAAAAAAGCTGTCTCCTGCAGCCAGCTTGGAGAGTGGTGGCACACAGGCTTGGCTCAAGCCCACATTCCCACAGGGGAGTGACATATGACCTCTCCACACCCTCAGCCCTGGGGCTGTTCCTGAGCAAGGGCTCCCTGAGACTGTTTAGTTCCATAGATCTGTTTGTTTAATAGTGATCCCCTTTCCTCTCTATGGTTGGACTTGCTAAGGCAATGGGGATTAGGTCTAGGAACTTAACTCTACTTTGGAGTGAAAACCTCATTTGACTCCCAGCAGGGAAAAAGGGGAAGAAGAGAGGGGAACGGAGAGGTGAGGTGATTACCAGAGGCCTCTCTCTGTGCCTCACGCTGTTGTGTAGAAAGTTTTAATTCTGATATTAAAAGTCATCTTGCGCGTGTTCCTCAAATTGTGCATTCTGCAGATTTAGCAGGCAGTTAGGGCTTCTCCAGTGATCTGTCCTGCTCAGGCCTAGTATTGCCTTCTCTTCATCTTTTAGCAAGTTCTGGAGTTTTCACTGAAATCAAAGGATGAAATTGTTGTGTTGACAGGACTCTTTGTATGAGCGTGTAATTTTTCTGCTAGTGTTGGGAGCAGGGGGCAGCCCCACTGACCATTGCATCCAGAGCCAACTGCCTTGCCTGGCGTGGGCAGGCGCTGGCATGTGCTTTCACACTTGACCGCTCAGTGCGAGCACCTCGTGTTTATTGCAGCTTCTGTTCTAAAACGTCCTGTTTTGTTTCCTTATTGGGGCTCCTGAGCAATTAAGTGTTCCCATCACAGTTGTTTCTCACCAGTTTCTGATCTCAATAGTGTGTTGTGTCCTCTTTGCTCAGCATAAGAAGGAAAAAGCCATTATTTGGGTTATGAATAGAAACATTCTTTCCAATATTGATAGCCCCAAAACAGAGGTGTCAGAGAAGTTGGTGCTGTGAAATGATCCTTAGGAAAGTGTTGGCCTTATTTCTTCTGAGGTAAGTTACCACGTTTAGAAAATTTAGAAATGTATGTAGTGTTCTTAGAAATGCAAAGGTAGGGATTAAAGACCAGTGTCTGAAATTCCTGAAGTTACAGGCCAGAATAATTGTGTAGAATGCAGGAGTGTTTGTGGAGACTGGAATGGCAGCTCTGAGCCCAGAGTTTTAACCCAATGTCTTCAGTAACTTCCTGTTGACTGAGACAAATCCCTTCCCCCTCAGGCCTTCCTGTCCCTCACTTATAAGATAAGGTGCTCATAGTAAATCTCAAGGCTCCTTCCAGTTCTGAGCAGGGGCCTGGCCTGACATAGTCTCTTCTTTTAAGAGAGGCAGAATTCAAAGAGAAGTCAGCTTTTTCTTTCTTGGGTTATCTTTTTGTCTCTTGCTTGCTGCTTTGAAATTTCTCATGTCTTTCTAAATTTCATAGACCAAGGGAGGAAGCCCTACTGAATTTAATAAAAGGGAATCATTAAATTGTTGTAACTCTAGTTGTTGGTATATTGATCATAACAGGAATTTCTAATCATGAATTATATTATTTTCTATTGCCATGTAGCGAATTACCACAAACTTAGCAGCTTAAAGCGGCACACATTTATCATCTTCCGGTTTCCAGGGGGCAGGAGTACAGGCACAGTTCAGCTGGGTCCTCTGCTCAGGGTCCACAAGACTGCCATCAAGTTGTCAGCCGGGCGTGAGTGCCATCTGAGGCTTGAGGTGCTCTTCCAGGCTTATGTGGTCATTGATAGAATTCACTTCCTTGCAGATGTAGAACCTCACGGTGGCTTGCTGCTACTTTGAGGCCAGCAGGATAATGTCTTTCCAGTCTCTGAGCTCAGGGAAGACCTAGCCCTCTTTTAAAGGGCTTACCTGATTATCACCCAGAACCATTTCCCCTTTGATTAGCTCAAAAGCAAGTGATTTGAGACCTTCATTATATCTGCAGAATCCTTTCACCTTTGCCATGTAACGTAACCTAATCATAGGACATTTCACCATGGGAGTGCCTAGGCCACGCTCGAGGGAGGGAATTATACAGCAGTTGTACACTGGGTGTGAGGATATTACGGTTCATTCTGCCTACCATACTACAGAGGTTTTTTCTCAAATGAATTTGTACTGTGTCTTGCTTTTCCGGTACGGGGGCGACACTGACAGTTGCGATCCGTTGCCGGACACGGAAAAAGACAAAAAAAATAAAATAAAAAAAAATTCCCAAACTGGAAAAAAAAAAAAAAAAAAAAAAAAATGCCTTGAGAGCCTTGCCACAGTCCACTAAGATATGTCTGTATCTCGTTCTTCTCTTCCTCCAGACATTGTCAGGATTGCCAGACCAAGACACCTTCTATGATGTGGTGGACTGCCTGGAGGAGCTGGGCATCGCAGCTGTGTCCCAGAGGCACCTAAGCAAGAAAGGAACTGACCTGGACTTAGTGGAGCAACTGAACATTTATGAGGTAACAGAACATGCCTTTTGTAAGGTGTCATACAGCTTCAGCAAATGTCAAAGGCTGAGTGTATTAGCCTGTGTCTGCTTATAGCAGAATACGTGAAACTGAGGAATTTATAAAGAAACAAAAATTTATTTCTTACAGTTTTAGAGGCTAAGCAGCCCAAGGTCCAGGGAACGCATCTGGTGAGGGCCTTCTTCTGGGTGGGAACTGAAAGGAAAAGCACTGACTTGAGCACGAAAATAAGACACACCAGGAGACAGGGACTCAACCAAACCGTATTAGGCAGGCAAAATGAACAAGAAGGCTGCCCTCTCGAGAGTGGGAGCAGCAGCAGGGAGAGTCGGGGTGGGCCTTTTATACCAGTTAGGCTGAGCTGGACTGTTCCTACTGGCTAGGAAGGAAGGGGAGGGAAGCGAGCGGGGTTTAAGCTGAGCTGGGATTTTTCTATAGGTGGAGAAGTTCGCACGCGTGGGAAGGGGACGTGGTGGTGAGGAAGAAGGGGGAGGGTTTTTTTGTGATTCTCGGAAAATGTGCTGTTCTAGGGACCTGAAACTCTCTACAGCCATTAGACATTGGCTAAAACATAATTGCCTAACACGATCTTTCTACAGGGTCCTGTGGTGACCAGGGTGTCACATGGCAAGAAGGACTGAGCAAGAGTGAGAGACGGCTAACTTTCTCATTCATTGTCCTTATAAAGCCATCAAAACCACACCTGTTACTTCATGGATGGATCAATCCATTCGTGAGGGCACAGTCCTCACAAACTAATCACCTCTTAAAGGCCCCACCTTTCAAATACCGTAATTGGGTTTCCCACCCTCTTAACACTATTACAGCGGGGATCAAGTTTCCATTATATGAACTTTTGGGGGACACATCGGACCCATGGCACTGAAATGATATGCAGTCCAGACTTGTTAGAAATGCAGGTTCTCAGGCCTGCCCCAGACCTGCTGACTCAGAAAATCAGAGGGTGGGGCCTAGCAATCTGTTTTGACAAGACTTCCAGGCTATTCTGATGCATATTCAAGTTTGCGAACCCCTGGTGTAGGGGAAACTTGGGAGCCATTTTTATTTTAAAGAACATGCATTCTGTCAGCAGCACCTTTACTCAAGGGGAGCAGGGAAGACAGAGATCACGTTTCTTTTACCTAATGGAGGTAGAACTTTGGGCAGGGCCAGCTATGTAGCTTATAGGGCCCAGTGCAATGTGGAAATGGGGGACCGTTTGTGGAAAAAGCAGGTAAAAATGCTGTTAAAGATACAAAACAAGTTTTTACTGTCTTCTGTAGTCTCTCTCACTTTGTTATGGTGTTTTTATTTGCTATTTAATGTAGTTAGGAAAGAAAAATTAGAATTTTAAATTATTACCATGAATTTTACTGTTCATCTTTATATTGTACAATATCAGTTTAAAATGCAAATATAAAGGCATTTAACTTTTATGCAGTATTAGCAAAATTACCCAATTCATTTTTGTAGCTCCTACATGCACATGTGTTTTGTTCTTACCAGAATAGCAGAAGCACTGTACAAAAGTAACCCAACTGCTTTTATTTCGCTTCTTGATATGTGTGTATTCTACCAACACTCTGCCTTCAGCCACACTGATGAGTAAGGAATGGCTGAAGGAAAAAGGAACACAGAGAAAAAGGGCACGCTGTAGAAGGTCCAAATGACATCCTCTTCTTTTTCCAATCTCCGCTGGTAACTCTGCTTGTGTCAGTGCAGTCGAGAGTCTGGTGGGCCACCTTGCATGGTGGCTGTGGCTACTGCTATGGTGTCGAGCTGCTTTGTGGCAGCTGTGGCAGTGGCTTTCGTGAGCCACACGGGTGAAGGTGGTGTTTTTGGCATGCTCTCTTGCCTGCTTCTAGGTGGAAGGGGCGGCTGCCCTCAGCTCCTGCCTGGGACCCTGGTGTTGCCCTCTTGCATCCTCTTTCTAGATTTTTTGAGTTAGATATTTAATTCATTTCTTTCCATCCTTTAATCATCCTTGAATTCCTGTAATATAATCCACTTGGTCATGATGTATTCTTTTTTAAAATGTGCTCTTGGAATTCTGTTTGATCCTAATTTATTCAGGATTTTTTGTTCATAGGTAAGTTGACCTGTAGCAGCCCCCCCGGCCCCTTCCTTCCTTTCCCCCTTCCTCTTCCTTCCTTCCCCCCGTCCTCTTCCTTTGTTATATGCCATCTTTTTTTTTTTTTTTTGCCCTTTTTGAGACCGGCTGCACCGTGCTCAGCCAGTGAGTGCACCGGCCATCCCTATATAGGATCCGAACCCGCGGCGGGAGCGCTGCTGCACTCCCAGCACCGCACTCTCCCGAGTGCACCACGGGCTCGGCCCTGTTATATGCCATCTTTATCTGTTTGGGCATCACTGTTATACTAGCATCATAAAAGAATTCCTGACCACTCTTGCACACTGCTTCTGGTGGCTGTGTGTATGGACATCTCTAGGTTACCTCTCTGATTGCTTCTCCTCGGTGTCCTCCTCTGGATCTGCTGTCTCCATCCCCTCCCTTTTAGCATTGAGGTATCCTTATCGGATCTCCTTTCTCAGTCTGTGTGGCCTGCCTGTGGTTCGCCTAGTGAGGTCAGCAGCCTTGGAGGCTAATGGCTGATATCTTGACCCTGAGATTTCTTCTAAGGCCCATGGCTGTGTGCCTCTCTGCTTCCCTTTCTCTCTGCCTGCTCGTCTTCTTGTATTTCATTCTTTGATTTGACTATATATCACATCCTCTGCTGGGGCTAAAAAATACAAATCTGTCCTTGCCCCCAAGGAACCTCTATGATGTAGTCTAAGGCAAGTAGGTATCCAATTTCTCCAGCAGCTAAATGTGGAAGTGCCAAGAGATTGCCAATTGTAACCGACATGGCCACTTGGAAGCCATGTATAACATGCAACCAGCCCAAAATGAACCCTTTATTTTCCTCCCATGACAAACAAAACTCCTGCACAATCTCTTCATTTCTCCACCTGTACAGACAGCAGAGTCTCCAAAGTTATGAACCTGGAGCTGTCCTGGACGCCTTTCTCTTTCCTGTGTTCCAACGTGTGTCCCCCTTTTAGAAGTTTCATTGCCCAAAACTACTTTTTTCTCCATTCTCATCATGATTCCCCTAGCTCTGGCCCTTATTGCTTCTTGCCTGGACTGTTGCAATATCTTCTTATTCATTTGTTTGTCCGTTAATTTGTTCATCCAACAAAACTCTTTTGAGAACCTACTGTATGCCAGGCACCATTCTAGGCTCCAGGGACACAGCAGTGAACAAGACAGACAAGACCGCTGCCCTGAGGGAGTGCACATTCCAGTGGGGTGCAGACAGTGACCAAGTGCCTGAGTAAGCGGATAATCCAAGAGTGTGAGCATGTCTGTGAGGAAAAGAGACAGGATGAGGAGGGGGCGAGAAACTGGGGCAGGGGCAAGGAAGGCCCATCTGGGGTGATGGCCTAAAGAAAGACACTGAAGGAGGGAAAAAGAGTGCTGGAGGAGGTCTGGCTTGGCAGGTGTAGAGGTTCGAAAGGAGGGGTGGGGCCTGGGGGATCAGCTTGTGTAGCGCCTGGAGACGTTGGCATCCTGCAGGGGCACATCCCACCAGGATCTTCTCTGGTCTCCCCCTTCCTACCTCCCTTCATCTAAAAACAAGGTGGTCCCTCCGAAAGTCAAATTTGACTATGCTGTTCTTGTTTAAGGAAACAAAAATGAATGAATGAATGAGTGACTTTTTCATCACCAACAAAATGAAGCCTAAATTCCTTGAGTAGTTGGTATAAGGGCCCTACACGGCTTGTGGCCTTTGTGCTTCTGTGGCCTTGTCTCTGCCTCTCACAATGTGCCTCTCAAGTTTCAGCCACAGTCAACTTCTCCTGTTTGCCAAGCATGAAAGGCAGGTCCTTTGGGAAGCTTTCCTTTATCCATTCTGTTTTCTTTGCTTGTAGCCTTCTTCCTTTCCATTCTCAAGTTGACAAACTCCTACTCCTTCTTCAGGAGTCACCTCAGATGTCACCTTCTCCAGGAAGCCTCCTCTACAAGATAAAAAAGGTGCTTGTGGGCCAGCCCCGTGGCTCACTCGGGAGAGTGCAGCGCTGGGAGCATGGAGGCCGCAGGTTCAGATCCTATATAGGGATGGCCGGTGCGCTCACTGGCTGAGCGTGGTGCAGACCACACTGTGCTGAGGGTTGCATTCCCCTTACCAGTCCAAAAAAAAAAAAAGTGGTTGCTGCTTGCCCCCCCACCCCCCACATTGTTCATAACTGATGTAAGAGCACTTTGCCTGGGTCTGCACCTCTGAATTAACAGTCCTCAGGTGAGACCTACTGTTGTCCCTTTGAACTCCTGCAAGTCATATGTCTCATGGCTCTTTCTAGCCCCAGAGCCCAGTAATAGAACTGCTCAGAGTGGAAGTTCAGTAACTGCATGAACCAGGGTCTCCTTCAGAGATGACACACTTTACAATAGTGTTTGTCAGACACTGGGTTGAAGTATAGGCGTGATTTGATCAGAAAGCAGCTACCTGAAGGAGAGGATGCCTGAGTAATAACTCGAGGTGACAGCTGAATGCTTTAGATAGCAGACAGAGTCAGGGTTTTTATTCCTTTCTGGAAGTTAATGTATTAATTTTTTTTTTTTTTACTGCCACAAGACAATCAACTTATGTATTTGCAGGGACATCAAGAAAGCCTATAAGCAGAGCCAATACTTTCCTCACAAAAGTCTTCAAATGTTCTCAAGCAATTGCAGAGAACTTGGTCAGGCTTCTAGAAGTCTTCCTAATAGTGGAGGATGTCTGGTGGCCGTATGTGTCAGACTTTCTGGAGACAGGCCCAGTTTCCTATAATTTAATTCTATTTCAGAAAGGTGATTTGATCCATGTTTAGTTAAAATCATTTGAATTTTTATAGCTTTATGCGATTTTTCAAATATATAAATTAAAATATCTTTTTTCAGATTATTGTGTTCTATTCTAACTTTTGGTTCTGAAAATGTGGTCCCTGAA